ATACCCCACAGCCACCAGCCCCCCTTTCTCAAGGGTCCCCCTTATGCAACACTTCCCCCCTCCCTCCAGTGCAGGGACTGCAGCCTGAGAGTGCCTTATCTCCATGAGGAGGGCTCCGACGGTGGACTTCCCCATGCCAAACTGGTTGCCCACCGACCGGTAGCTGTTGGGGGTGGCGAGCTTCCAGAGGGCGATGGCGACCCACTTCTTTAAGGGGATGGCAGGTGGGTGTCGCATCTCCAGAGGATGGGGGCAAGTCACGCACATAGCTCCAAAAAGGTGGCCTTCTGCATGCAGAAATTTTAAAGCCACTGCTGGTCGTCTCACCACTCCAGGACCAGCTGGTCCCACCAGTCAGAATTGGTATCAAGCCTCCAAAAACACTTCTCCTCAGTGGGGTGGGGTTGCCAGAATGGAGCTGCCACGGAGAGGGTTCCCAGAATGAGCTCGGGGTCCTGGTCGTACAGACCAGGAAGGCAGCTGGCAAAAAGTGCTACAAAAACTGCAGCATAGCCGTGTGGGTCCATCTCATGCCCAAGGACAGCTCCGGCTCCATGGCTCAAAGGAAAAGGCTGTGGCATCCAAAAAAGAACAGGGCAACCACAGCAGGCACTGCAAGAGTTTTGCTGTCCCTCAAAGAGGTAGCAAGCACACAGCAGAAGCAGAGAAACGGCTGTCCAGGGGGGTCCCTTTAAGCGCGTGTCTCTACAAGTCTCCAGCACCAGCACTCGGAAGCAACTGGTGACCTAAAGCCCTGGCTGAAGTGATTCCGGGTGGCCTTTTATGCGAGAGAGAGTCCTATGAGTCTGGACACTCTCTTTCACAAAAGTGCATCGCTTTTTCAATGCGCTACTGTGTGTGGACGCGCTCTTTCACAAGAAATTGTTTTGGAAGATTTCTTCCGAAAAAAGCTTCTTGCGAAAGTAGCCTGCAGTCTAGATGTAGCCTAAATTAGATGTTAGTGTGTGGCTAAGACAACCACTAATAATATAGGCATCTCTGTTCACCTCTGAAGCAACAAGATGTGTTGCCAAACTTCTGCTCCAAAGTGCTGCATAATATTCATCTGGAAAAAATACCAGGACCAGGAAGGACTGAGGTTTGTAAAATATTTGCTTCTGCTCTCTAGAAGATTCCTGCTAGTATCAGGGTCAAGACAGTGTACATTTTTAAGTGCTCTAGATGAAACAGGTCTCATTAGAGCATGATTCAGTTTGACTCCTCTTAAATAAGTGACAACTGACTGGAAAGGAAATGGACAATCCATAACACAGACTGTCAACCATTATTCTTACCTACATGCCTCTAGCTTCCATCCAGGACACATCATACGATCCATTGTTTACAGCCAGGCCCTAAGATACAACCAGATTTGCTCCAATGCCACAGACAGAGACAAACACCTACAAGATCTTTATCAGGCATCCTTAAAACTTAAATACCCACCTGGGGAAGTGAAGAAACAGATTGTCAGAGCCAGACTAGTACCCAAACATCAGGTTCTTCAGGATAGGCCCAATGAGGAAAATAACAGAACATCACTAGTCATCATCTACAGCCCCGAGCTCAAACCCCTCCAGCACATCATTGATAAACTACAACCTATTCTGGAAAACGATCCTTCACTCTCACAGGCCTTGGGAGAGAGGCCAATCTTGTCTACAGATAACCCTCTCATGAAGGGTGGGGAACCTAAAGCCTGGGGCCAAATGTGGCCCTTGCCTTGCCTGGATCCAACCCCTGAGGCTCAGGGCTTCCCCAAGCATTGGAGAGCCCACAGTGGCACTCCAGACCCTCTGCTGTCCCACCGTGGGCCTGGAGAACACAAAATCTACCAGCCTTCCCCCCCCCCCCCCCCCTGCGAAGGGAATGTGGGGAGTGTCTTTCTCCTTCTCAGTCAGGGGCCATATCAGTGAGGGTTTGGTTTTTCTTTTTTGCTTCTCACTTGTGTGCGGCCCCCAATTTTTCTGTGGGTCAGTGGTCTTCAACCCAAAAAATGTTCCCCACCCTGCCCTAACCTGAAGCAAATTCTTTCCCACATCCACACATCACACCTCAGACACACTCACCCAGGAGCCTACCACTGTAATAAACCCCACTACCAACTCTGTCCATACATCTATACTAACAACACCATCCCGGCACCTAACCACATATGTCACCACATCAGAGGTTCATACAACTGCACATCCTCTAATGTGATATATACCATCAAGTGCCAGCAATGCCCTTCTGCCATATATATTGGCCAAACTGGACATTCTCTACAAGAAAGGATTAATGGACACAAATTGGATCTTTGAAATGGCAACACACAGAAACCTGTAGGGGAACATTTAAACCAGCCCGGACAGTTATAAATGGACTTAATAGTAGCCATTCTTCTACAAAAGAATTTTACAAGCCAACTAGAGAGAGAGAGTGCAGAATTGACCTTCATGTGCAAATTTGAACTGGTTAACACATTATAACACCAGCTTTCCATACATTTAACACCCTATTGACTTCAAAAGCTAAGTAGGGGACACTTCCAGTCCGCTCAATTAGTCTCATTAGCACTGGGAGTACAACTGACTGGTAATTTTTTTCTCCCTTTGCTTTCTAATTCTGAGAGTCCCCCTTTTTTCTGAAGACATGGGTTTTGCCCACTATATATATATAATGCCATAGGACTACTCCAGACTAACATGGCTACCCCTCTGAGACAGACTATAAGGCTACGTCTAGATTGCATCCCTTTTTCGGAAAAGGGATGTAAATTAGACGTATCGCAATTGCTAATGAAGCGGTGATTTAAATCTCCCCCGCTTCATTAGCATAAAAATGGCTGCCGCTTTTTTTCGGCATGGAGCTTTGCCGGAAAAAAGCGCCAGTCTAGATGCGGATCTTTTGGAAAATAAAGCCTTTTCCGAAAGATGCCTTATCCCTCTTAAAATAAGGGATAAGGGATCTTTCGGAAAAGACTTTATTTTCCGAAAGATCCGCGTCTAGACTGGCGCTTTTTTCTGGCAAAGCTCCGAGCCAGAAAAAAGCGGCAGCCATTTTTATGCTAATGAAGCGGGGGAGATTTAAATCCCCGCTTCATTAGCAATTGCGATACATCTAATTTGCATCCCTTTTATGAAAAAGGGATGCAGTGTAGACACAGCCGTTATATCTTGTATTTCCAGAACTGGTCTGAAAAGAAATATCTGCCACTAAAAATATTGTTTCTAGGGGAGGGGGAAACAGTGGTGTTTGATTAAACCCCCATCCTAGAATTGGATCCAAATGGAGTTCTTTGAAAATAGTGGTATTTCAAATGGATACAGGGTTCTGCCTGCAGGGAACTTCCTGTAGATCAGGGCCTAAACTAGAAATATGTGTGGATTTGACAAAAAGGCAAAAATTAATTCACAACTGATATTCTAGTGACAGACAATCAGTCCCCACTAGAAGCCATCTAGGAGTTTGAAAATAGCTGAAACTCAGTGTGTTGCTTGTGTCTTTTGTTCTGAGAATGAGTTTAATAATGTAGTGTGAAGAACAATCCCATAACAGTGCCAATTGCCATCTCTAATTTTCATAGCCCTCATCTGCAAACCATGTAGGCATCTGGAGTGGCTTAACTTCATGCATGTGATAGTCCCAGTGCACAAATATGGTGGTGGTCCTTTAAGTGGCATATGTCACTGCTGACTTCAATGTTACACTTTGTTTGCATAAACTTACTCAAGTGAATATGCAAAGTGTCCAGGCCTGTTATATGTATTATTAAAAAGAGCAGTAAATCTATTGAAATCAGTGATCAAAATAATATCAACTCTCACAAACGTGTTGACAATTTGGTAGCAAGGCAATTATCTTGATAAAAATCAGATAACCGATTTCCAGTGCCATGAGGGAGGCATCTAGTTAGGCGAAATCGGTTATCTTTAGGACCTAGGGGAAGCT